AAAGCGGAAAAGAATCTAAAATGCTAATGAATAATGAATTAATTGCTCGGGTGGCTCCAGACTTCACACCGGTGTGCTAAACATGTGTTGTTCATTCCTCATCGTGTTTCCGAGAAATGAGGAAAACGCCAGATATGTTAATGAATGCGAAAATGGAGAATATCATTGCATTCAGAGTATTTTGAATTGATACATTTTCACACCATATTGAGCATACGCCGCGAAAATTTTCTCATGTATGTATGTGTATAGCATTTCTTGAATGAAACAACGTTGAGACTAAAGTGCTGGACGGGCCGCGAAAGACGGATATGCAAAATTTTTGCGCGTAGGCGTAGGTGTGGGGTCAGCACAATAAGTGCATTTATCTGGTGTCCGAGGTGTATTTGAAAAGGGTCCAACTGAAGAACAAGGCGACAAACTGGATTAGGTTTCTGTGTTGGTGAACCCATGGCAACATTGTGTTCTTAAGTTTCAACGCCCCCGCCCGCTTAACAACATGATGCTAGTTTTGCACGCATTAAATATTCATGAAATATATATATATATATATATATATATATATATATATATATATATAAATATCTATATATATATATATATATATATATATATATATATATATATATATGAAACATAATGTATCCCCTTGGAAACATTTTGGTTCTAAATCGGTGAATAGGCAATTTCGTGACAACTCGAATGCATTTTTGATGTAATCGCATTTTTCGTCACGCGAAAACGAACTCGCTTAGGTGAAGCGAGTAGCTAGGTATTTACGTCGCATTCCGTTTTTTTTTGCGGCTGCTCGTGTAACTCGAGCGGCTCTTATTTTTATTCAGGCTTTTTGTCGGAATTCGAAAGTATGCACGGCCTATGGAAATGCGCTCATTTTCTGGCTTTTCGGGTTTTTTGAATATATAACAATGGGAAACGGGCATGGTCGAACGAGTCAGATTTAGTCGAATGAAAAATGGGTGTGCTGTAGGTTCAGGGGTGACAACGACGAATGGCATTTCATCATTCGTTATTATAGATTCATTGTAAATTAGCGCAATTCGAAGCAAACATTTTGATTTTTTTTTGCCTTTAGTGTTTTTTTTTTCCCAACTTCTATACTAATCTATCCTTTAACGTTCAATGAGAAAATGTGCACAAACGGTGAAAAACAGCAAAAGATGCTCTTTTGCAATTCCCTACGGGAGTAGTGTCAGCTATTCGCCTTGGGAAGCGTTTGTCGTCGTATTTTTCGAGAACCCGAGTGAGAACTGAACCGAAAAACGAATATGAGGGGTCTACGACATCGACTACCAAAGCTTGGCCGTGTTGTGTTTTCTGTTCATGATCCACTTGCCATTGTCAATATGATTTCGGAGAGAAGAAACTAAATTCGCCGCTAACAAGATGATTTTCAAAAAGAAAATGTTGCCGTTTTTCTGCACAGCGACTCCGACGCGAAAAATAACAATTCAATCAGGCATACTTTCTAAATTCTTCCTTTTCCCAAGTCATCATCAAATTCGACTTTGGTTTCGAAATAATATTTCTCAGGTTATTAAATTAGAGAAACAAAATCAGCGACACAACTGCAGATTGAATTTGGGAACGGAAATAATTGGTTATTGGGTGACAATTTAAAACAAACTGCAACGATTGAAGCTTTCGCAAATCTCAATGCCGTCAATATCAACTTGGTGATAAAAACTGTGAAATACTCTGAAATGCAAAAAAAATCTAAACCTGCTCAATTGTCTTATTGTCAAAAAAATTAAAAATATGTAATTTTTGAGTAGAAATATTAAATGTTTATTATTGCGTGGATTAAGATCCTTTTGTTTTTCACAGACTACACGCAGATAATCTTAATTATGATTCCGATTTTAAATAAACATTTTTGTCGTCAATCGCTGTTTCGATTTCTTTTAGTTCCTGAGGTATTGGCAAATCCAATGCAGACTTTAAGGTTCTCAACATAGTTTGTATATGTCTACAAATTTTGCAGATAATGTTGTGTCAACTTTGATCAAATTTTCCCTCTTGAACTGATAAGTTAGCGAATTGATAGCTTGCTCAGTAACTAAACTTTATTCTTTTGAAAAAAAAAAACAAAAAGAATGAAAAAATTGCCCTTCTTAATATTCTTCGAATTTAATTCCCAGGGGTGATATAAATGTTAACTTCATATGAGGCCCGGCGAACAAAACAAAACGAATCTTATGAAAGCTAGACAAGTTTTTTGAAAGTTATAAATTTGTAGGGACCATCATCTCTGTTCATATTCGCTGAAGATAACATCATAAGAAGAAATGCAAAAGCTATTATAGAATGGGGCCCGTTCGAATATTTTATATTGCTCACTATCATAGGTATTCGCAAAACCGAAAAGAACAATTTAGAAATTAAATTTTCAGGAAACTGTGTTGTTTTATCGATGGAGCAGCATTTACCGAAAAATGACAAAAAACCGCTGTCAGAGATGCTCGAACGAACGGAGCCCTACTTTATGGGCATTTTTTGTTTAGAATGTGTTTTGAAAATTGTAGCGTTTGGTTTCGCATTGCATAAGGGTTCATATCTTCGCTCAGGGTGGAATATTATGGATTTCATTGTTGTAGTCTCCGGGTATAAAATTTTAGATGGAGGCTAACTTGATTAGAAAATTGCAGTGTCGTTACTATGCTGCCATTCTTACCATCGTCCAACCAAGGCTCCGGCCAACAGGTCGACACGGTCGATCTGCGGACACTTCGAGCCGTTCGAGTGTTGCGGCCACTGAAGTTGGTTTCCGGAATACCCAGTAAATAGACGAATAATAAGAAACAGTTTCCCTGAATGATGAAACTTAGGTTTACAAGTCGTCTTGAAGTCAATTTTATGTGCTATGGCACCATTGTTACAAATTGGACTCCTCGTTTTGTTCGCTATTGTGATCTTCGCCATTATCGGACTCGAATTTTACTCAGGAGCTTTCCATTCAGCTTGCTACAATGATCGCGGAGAAATTGAGAACGTCTCCGAAAAACCAATGCCGTGGTATAAACCGGAACAAATGTTGTTGTAATTGTGAACATTGAGTTTTCAGCACAAATAAGACGTCACCAATGGGTGTCTACAACTGTGACGTGAAAGGTACTACGTGCTTACCTAACTGGATAGGACCAAATTATGGAATTACGTCTTTCGATAATATTGCTTTCGCAATGATTACTGTGTTTCAATGCATCACTATGGAAGGATGGACGACTGTGATGTATTATGTAGGTGTTTCATTTAAAACATTGCATCAAAACAAGGCTTTATAATTTTTGCAATTATAGCTATATTGTGAATGGTAAACGATCTCATTATTTTTTTTTCAGACGAATGACTCATTAGGAAGCACATACAACTGGGCATACTTCATTCCACTCATTGTTTTAGGGTCATTTTTCATGCTCAATCTCGTTCTCGGAGTGTTGTCTGGGTACGTTTGAAATGAATGCACTTTGTTTTTAGGAAGGAAGCAATATTTCACACGGATGATTGTTTTTTATAGAGAATTCGCGAAAGAAAGAGAGCGTGTCGAGAATCGGCGTGAATTTCTCAAACTACGACGACAGCAGCAAATCGAGAGGGAATTGAACGGATACTTGGAATGGATTTTAACAGCCGAGGAAGTAATTCTCAAAGAGGATCGAACAACTGATGAGGAAAAAGCAGCCATCATGGAAGGTTCTTAATGAAGAATTCATAAAACGGAGATTACGGGATTGTGAATTTCAGCACGACGAAGAGCTGCGAATAAGAAACTCAAACAGGCTTCAAAACAACAGTCGACTGAAACTGAAGAAGATTTTGAAGAAGAAGAAGATGAGATGGAAGAAGAATATGTCGACGAAGGTGGAGTCGTCGAGGACGAATTCGGCAAGAACATTTACATCCTTTCGAGCATGCCTTTCAAGTTTTAAAAATTATTTTGAATTAAAACCAGCGCTGTGAAAAATCGCATGCCATTTTTTTTTCATAGAAATTTTTTTAAATAGCTATTTAACCATTTTTGCTTTATTTATGCGTTATTTTCAAAAAAAAAAAAGACATGCGACTCACACAAACGAGTTGGAGCTTCACGAGTTTTTTTCTCAATGTGATTCGTGTTTTTATTCTTCTTTTTCGAATTTGTTTCATTCAAATTCACACAACACGCACACAAATGAGTATATTTTCTACAACACAATCTATCCTTGCTGAATCAGTGAATGATGAACGCATGTGTTTGCAGTTTTTTTCTCAATGATTTTGTACAAATCTGGCAAAATGTGTTGCTTAGTTCGAAAATTTCGCATTTCTTGGAAAGCCAAGGGAGTCAGAATTAAAGCAAACATTTTTCACAAAAGAAATTCAAAGGAAGCAAAAAATTATTATCACCAATTTTTAGAAAAACATTTATCGATTTCAAATTTAAATCTTGTGTCTAACGTAGAAAAATCACAAAAAATTCATGAATCTTCACAAAAAGAAAATTTTAAGCAATATTTTTTGAAGTTTGCAGTGTTTTTTTCATCGCGATTTGCTGTGTTTTACTAGTTTCCTTTTATTATTGCAAGGTATGTCGTTTGGGTGAAGTGTTTTTTGCTGTTTTCATCTTCTACCTTTTTTTCTTTTCACACCTTTCAATTTAGGTCGATCTTTTTGCATAGGTTTTTAAGCATGAATATGCATTTTTTTTTTGGAATTTTCAGACTATCGTCATTTTATTTTTAAAATGTGGTTTAATCTTAGTTGTTTCAGTCGATCGAAAAAAGAGAGGATGCTGTCATTCTATACAAAAATTCATTCGACAATTACGGTATAAAATCTGAAATTTCTTAGCCTATGAACATTAATTGTTTAGAATTCAAATTCGTATAATGGTAAAAACTCAAATTTTTTATTGGTCTGTTATCACGCTGGTATTCTTGAACACTTGTTGCGTTGCTAGTGAACACTATGGACAACCCCAATGGTTCACAGATTTTTTGAGTAATAATTACATTTTGTCGAAATGATTTATGCTTGTTTTTTTTAGAATACGCCGAATTCGTATTCTTAGGAATTTTCATTGTCGAGATGCTCCTCAAATTATTCGCAATGGGCTCGAGAACCTACTTCGCCTCAAAAGTAGGAATCTTCGTGAAGTATTTTAATTAATTTGTTTATTCAGTTTAATCGATTCGACTGTGTTGTTATCGTCGGTTCAGCAATGGAAGTAGTTTGGGCTGAACTATACGGTGGTTCTTTTGGTATTTCTGTGATGCGAGCTCTTAGACTTCTCAGGATTTTCAAATTGACTTCGTGAGTTTCAGTCTCAGATTTCAATATTTAATTAAAATGTAATAGGTACTGGGTATCACTGCGCAACCTTGTTCGATCTTTGATGAATTCAATGCGGAGTATCATTTCACTCTTGTTCTTGCTCTTCTTATTCATTTTGATCTTTGCTTTACTTGGAATGCAGCTTTTCGGAGGAAAATTCAATTTTCCAACGATGCACCCTTACACTCATTTCGATACCTTCCCAGTCGCTTTGATTACTGTGTTTCAGGTAGATTGTATTTGAATTGAAAATTGTAGATAGATAATATTATGTTCAGATTCTCACCGGAGAAGACTGGAATGAAGTAATGTATCTTGCTATCGAGTCGCAAGGTGGAATATACGGTGGTGGAATGGTGTATTCAATTTACTTTATCGTTTTGGTGCTTTTTGGTAACTGTAAGCGATATTTCAGATTTTTTTCGTGATTTGCGTTATCTCGTAAAATTTCAGACACATTACTAAATGTTTTCTTGGCTATCGCTGTCGACAACTTGGCGAATGCACAAGAACTCACCGCTGCCGAAGAAGCTGATGAAAAAGCAAACGAACTCGAAGAAGATTCCGAAGAAATTGATGAGCAGTATCAAGAAGGAGAGCATTGCGCGATTGACATGGAAGGAAAAACTGCCGGAGACATTTGCGCAGTAACAAGAGCTATGGATGATTCGGATATGGAAGAAGAGTGTGAAGAAGAAGAGTCACCGTTCGGAGGACCTCGACCAATGGTTCCGTACAGCTCAATGTTCTTCTTATCTCCAACCAATCCGTTCCGTGTGTTGATTCATAGTATAGTTTGTACGAAGTACTTTGAAATGATGGTTATGGCCGTAATCTGTCTGTCGTCAATTTCCTTGGCTGCTGAAGATCCAGTCGACGAAGAAAATCCACGGAATAAAGTTCTTCAATACATGGATTACTGTTTCACCGGAGTTTTTGCTTGCGAAATGCTTCTGAAGGTTTTACTAGATTCTTCGAATACGCGTATTTTTTTTTACAATTTATTTCAGTTGATTGATCAAGGCATTCTGTTACATCCCGGCTCATACTGCCGCGACTTCTGGAATATTCTTGATGGAGTTGTGGTTACATGCGCATTGTTTGCGTTTGGATTCGCGTAAGTCGAAGCGAAAAAAAGGAAACATGGTTGCTTATTTTTCTTAAAATCAAATATGATTTCTCATCATAATTTATCTTATTTTAGCAGTACAGATACGTAAGTTGGATTCTCAACAGCGGTAGTTCGCGTTTTATTACAATTCCCTTTTCAACTCACATTCATTCTAGTTGCTTTTTTGTTTACTTTTTTTTTATTTACGCCACAATGTACCCAAAAACCTAAATTCACAATTTCAACCAATTCAACCCATATCAAAAGACACACTCTCCTCATAATATTCCCTAAAACAAACCTCGAAAATTGAGTTATCTAAAAATTTTAACATTTGCTAAATTAAATTACCACCGCGCCACAAAAGCTTTACCGAGTTTCATTTTTTTAATTATGCACCATTTTGCGTGTCCTGCTGAATGGTAGCTTCAGCTTATGAATGGCTAGCTATCATTTAACAGGATATAAATTAGCTCATAATCGGTATTTCAGAGGAACTGATGGTAGTGCTGGAAAAAACTTGAATACCATCAAATCACTCAGAGTGCTTCGTGTGTTGCGTCCACTTAAAACCATCAAGAGGATTCCAAAGCTCAAGGTTTGCATAATCCCTATTTTCATTTTATGATTTCAATGTTTTCGAACTAATTTGAACCAATTCAGGCTGTTTTTGATTGCGTCGTGAACTCGTTGAAAAATGTGTTCAACATTCTAATTGTCTACTTCCTTTTCCAGTTCATTTTTGCCGTAATTGCCGTGCAGGTGGAGTGGAATTTATCGTCATATTTTAATTGCCTATTCCAGCTGTTCAATGGAAAATTCTTCTTCTGTACTGACAAAACACGACGCTTTGCGCATCAATGTCACGGACAGTTCTTTGTGTATGAAAATCAGAACGATCCTCCGCGAGTTGAACAGAGAGAATGGAGACTGCGGCCTTTTAATTATGACAACACTATTAACGCAATGCTCACATTATTCGTCGTAACAACAGGTGAAGGATGGCCCGGAATTAGGCAAAACAGCATGGATACAACATTCGAAGATCAAGGACCTAGTCCATTCTTCAGAGTTGAAGTATGAAACAAATTTTTAATTGAAAAACGAAATAATTCATTAATAGGTGGCACTTTTTTACGTAATGTTCTTCATTGTGTTTCCATTCTTCTTCGTCAACATTTTCGTTGCGTTGATTATCATCACATTTCAAGAACAGGGAGAGGCTGAACTTAGCGAAGGGGATCTTGACAAAAATCAGGCGAGATTTCAAAAAGGAATGTATTTTTTAATTTTCCTCTTTTACAGAAGCAATGCATTGATTTTGCTTTGAACGCTCGACCTCGATCATTATTTATGCCCGAAGACAAAAACTCAATAAAATATCGTATATGGAGACTCGTCACATCAGCACCGTTTGAATACTTCATCATGACAATGATTTGCTGCAACACAATAATTCTTATGATGAAGTTCTACAAAAATCCACAATTCTACGAAGAAATTTTGAGGTTCAAACTTTACGCAGTTATTCTATTAGTTGCATTTTTGTAGATTGTTTAATACGGCGCTAACAGCAGTTTTTACGGTGGAAAGTATTCTTAAAATTCTTGCATTTGGTGTAAGAAATTACTTCCGTGATGGATGGAATAGATTCGATTTTGTCACTGTTGTCGGTTCCATCACAGATGCATTAGTTACAGAATTTGGAGGTATGCGATTCTTCAAATTAATTTGATTTTAATTCACATAATTGAAGGTCATTTTGTGTCTCTTGGATTTCTTCGTCTTTTCCGTGCAGCAAGACTTATTCGATTGCTCCAGCAAGGTTATACAATCCGGATCTTGCTTTGGACTTTTGTTCAAAGTTTCAAGGTATTTAGATCCCTCAATCTGCAGTGAAACATGCGGTTTTAGGCATTACCATATGTTTGTCTTTTGATCGGAATGCTTTTCTTCATTTACGCCATTGTTGGAATGCAAGTGTTTGGAAATATCTGGTTAAACGCAGCCACTGAAATCAATCGTCACAACAATTTCCAATCGTTTTTCAACGCTGTGATATTGCTGTTCCGCTGCGCTACTGGTGAAGGATGGCAAGATATCATGATGGCTTCTGTCCAGGGAAAGGATTGTGCCAGAGCAGGAAGTGATGAAATCAATATGGAGAAGGTTAAAAGGCAAATCTGTTTCTCTCAAATTAATTTTTTATGTTTAGGGACAAACTTGTGGAAGCAACGTGTCGTATGCCTACTTTACAAGTTTTGTGTTCCTTTCGTCATTCCTTATGTTGAATTTGTTCGTTGCCGTCATTATGGATAACTTTGACTATTTGACTCGAGATTCATCCATTCTAGGGCCCCATCACCTTGACGAATTTATTCGCGTTTGGGCTGACTATGATCCTGCAGCAACGTAATGCCCAATATTAGTAGATATAGAAAAATGGGAAATATTTTAGTGGTCGTATTCACTACACCGATATGTATGACATGCTTCGAAACATTGCACCACCTGTCGGATTTGGTCGCAAATGTCCCTATCGTCTGGCATACAAACATTTGATACGAATGAATATGCCTGTGGCAGAGGATGGAACTGTCCATTTTACGACCACACTATTTGCGTTGATTCGAGAAAGTTTGAGTATAAAAATGCGACCGGTTGAGGAAATGGACGAGGCTGATGAGGAGTTGAGGCAAACATTGAAAAAGATCTGGCCATTGAAGGCAAAAAAGAACATGATCGACCTTGTTGTGCCCCCAAACCACGGTAATGAAGTGCGAAATCAAAGTAAATTACACTTCACTCGTTATAGAATTATGCTTCCAAAAATTAACTGTTGGCAAAATTTACGCAGGTCTTTTGATTTTGGAAAACTATCGAGCAAAGAAGAGTGGAACAGAGGTTTGTATAAGAATTCCGCAAAATATCTGCATTGAACACAAAAAATAATCCATATCTAACTAACTTTCTGAAAATATAAAATAATACGTCTAACGGTTTCTAAAAATAGCTTGAACTGCTCAAACGTCATCGCGCTGCTGAACTGTTACGGAGACGTCGAAACGCTTTATTCCAATGGTTTTCCAAAGACTCTAATGAGGAACAGGTCCAGATTCCCTTCATTGACATTTTTCAAATTCTTTTTTATATGTAATGTCCTCATGTATGCAAGACCCTAAGCACGTTTCATAAAATTTTTTACTATTATCTAAATTTTGGTTGAACTCATTGCTTTAAGCACACTTTGATTAACGGGTTCAATTGAAATTTAATACCGGCAAACTTGTAACTGGGTCACGTTTGAAATCAGAATTTTCAGATCGGTGGGGGAGGTCTCTTCGGCGGAGGTCTAAGATCACTTGTAGCTGCTGCAAAAGCGGCTGGTGGCGGATCACAGCAGAACTCCAGCACACCGCAGCCACCTGCAGAGGAAACAGCCCCAATTATTTCGCAACAGCAAAACTCCACATCCTCGCAAATTACCGCCGTTGGTGGACAGGTTTATTTAGCCAAACGCCAAACCGAATGAAAAACTATTTCCAGAGACCATATTCGTTGTTCAACACTTTAGTGGATACCATCAAAGCAGGAAAACCCGAGGGAGAAATGACGCCAGTTCAATATCAAAGTGTCGATGTTTCTCAGCAATTGTCACAGCAACAACAACAACCGTTTGAAAACATAGACTTGGAAGAAACAAGACTTTCAAATTACAGAGAAAAAATGATGAATAATACTGGAAGACGCTTGTCTGATATGTTTTCGAAGATTCGTCGTGGAACATCAGCAGACCATCACTTACATCAGGTACTTGGTTTTCAGTAGCAACGGTCGTTCTCTTCTTTTGTGACGCACAAAACATTGAATATAGTTGGGAGAGTGCTCCTCAAACACATGCGTTCACGCACTCAAGAAGTTTTTTGCGAGTTCTACACAATCATGCCAGACACATTCCTAATAATTTATGTATTCCATTGAATATAATATTATTTTTGTTGTGGCCTCTCGCAATTTAATTTATCTTTCCTATCCGCTAAAAAATCACAAAACAGAACAATTTTTAAACATTTGACAGTGAATTTTGTTTTGCGTTTCCTACGATTCTTGATTGTAGAACTATTCGCACCACTTCGGTTGCAGTCGAAATAGAAGTTCCCGACATGATGAGGTTTGTAGAGGCTACTAATAGCCAACATTTAGAAATGTGACTGCCGGGTTATGATTTATTGTTCATCTTCATCATTTCATTATAATTCGTTATGTTCTCTGAGCATTAAATATTGCATGCACTCATTTTTATTTTTGCTTCGATTTTAGTTATTCTTTCCGTTTCTAACATTTTTTATTTTCTTTCCAAAAATTTGCACGCCATGCATGTTTGTTCACGAAATAGATTGTTTTTGTATTTTTTTGAAAATATGATGAGAAAACGAAACTGAGGCATGAATGGGTCGCCAACAGTACTTTCAAGTTCCTTATTATTATGTGGTAGTTTAATTGATGATAAATGGCGACAGGAAGGATTTGAGAAAATGCTGCGATTTTTATAATTCTCTAGTTATTTGAACTTTCAGATAAAGGAAATTAATTTAATTTTTAAAAATCCGGATTGGCTCAAATCCTTCTATGTCGTGTAACTGTTATGCTAACCTCATTAGAATCAAAAAATAGAACTACCAACTTCAAAATGCTTATTTAGACGGAGCATCTCCTTCCTCAAGACAATCGATCCCCATCTTCGCCGAGATATCGAAGCATGGCTCGAGCAAGTCCTCCGAGCCCCGCCGAGCGTTATTCGCACGGCCGCTACAGAAGCGGTTAGTGTTATTGTAGATGTTATCGTTTCGGTTTTTTCATTGCAAAAAGCGGCGCAAGATATTAATCGGATTGACCCGTTTTTGGTTATTTGTGATTCTTTTAAGACGATACTTTCAGACTCGCCCCCTTCATCACGATCTGAATATCCAATGTCAATAAGAGACCCGATAATACGCAAAAATCGCTATGACATGTTTGATCACTCAAGACCTTCTTACGATTCACACCATCATCATCAACATCATCATCATCCAAGAGTTTACCAGAACTCTCATCAATATTCGAGAAGTCCGATATACTCAGATGATTCAAGTATTGCTGAAAGTTATCGAAGAGATTATCGAAGATATCCTGGTATTAGTTGAATATATGAGATCTTGAATAAGAACTGTTTTGTTTTAGATTCAACACCGCAGGATATTAGCGAAGACGATGATCCAATGCCTAGTGTTGTTCGATCTCGTCGCTTGCCTCTGATCGCCACAATGCCGACGCACTATGAGTCATCGTTCCAGCCTGCGCCTTATAATCAACCACAGCCAAATCTTCTTGAAAATTATGGTAAGCAATAGAATTTGAATCAACTACAGAAAAGATGCACTTATTCTCAGGGTACCAGCGAGATTACAATCCATCACACTCGCATTCATATCTGCATCAGCAGCCCATGTACAACACGTCGCCACTAATCTCGCCGCGATCAAGTCATAGCTACTACACTCCACGGAGTTCGCAATACTATGAGATACCATCTCCAAGTCCAGACGTGAGTCATTAAATAGTGTTATCTCTCAGACGTTAGTCTTGCAAGCAATATATATATATATGTTTCGCAAAATCGCATATTCCAAAAAATAAAAGTTACATATGGCAATAATAAATACACATTATTTTAAAAATCTGGAATAAATAGCAGTTATTATAATTTTAGATGTACCCATCATATCGTGGACCTTCATCTCCCCGTAGATATCCGCAAAGCACCGTCGTTGTTGCATCAGACCGAGAAGGTTCTAGCACTCGCGTCATTCAGGCGCAGCCCGGAACTATTCCACTTTCAGATTCAGAAGCTGATGATGATCCGAGATGGGCGATTGTCTAAATTACTTTATTGACTCACAACATGTGATATCAAGAAAGCAAATGTACATTATAGGGTTCAATTATGGTATATTTATATATTATAGTGAATATCACTTGGATTATGTTGGGTGCTTTTCGAATTTTTGTTTTGTTTTCCATTCTTTCTTCTATGCAAATTTCGAAATCAACTGTGATTCTATGATTATCTCAACACTGAAAATAAGGTGACATTCGTTTTCTTAGCTAACTGCATGGGTACATATTCAATTAATTTGTTTAGGTTGCAATATTCAATATTAATAATAATTCGAATGATTTAATAATATTTCATAATGACTAAATACTTCAATTCCTAACTTGCCATTATTTAAGATGTGGTCGGTCGACATTCCAATGTGATTTTAGAGTGTATTTAAGTGATTTTATATTAATAATTGTGCAATATTCCTCTGTATTTTTTCATTTGTCATGTTTCTTTTGATAAAAATTTTTTCAATATTAGCTGAAGATTTTTTGTGAAATTTATTTTTATGCAAAATTACATTTTAAAGATGCAATATACTTTTGCGTTACTTGGTGTTTTACACAACATACAATTTGACTTGATTTTTGCTAATTGTGTGTACTTATATGCTTTTAGACATTAAGTGAATTATGCATTAGTCGTACATTTTGCGCTAATTGTTCTTCGATCTCAGATAGTTATGAAATTTCGGCGCATTATTTGATTAAATTTGTAAATAACCTTTCGTAGTCTTTCATTTTACCGACGTTGAATTGATGAGTCAGAAAATTCTTAATCATCAATGTCCCAATCGTCAAAAATGATTGCAAATTGTGATTGTTTAAGAACAAAAGCCAAACATGTACAAAGGTTGATTTGTTTTGAGTTAGTCTTCGTCTTCCTTATAGAGGTAAAAGAAAAACGAGAAACTTGATTAGTTACTTATCTAAAAATATTTACGAAAATGTTCTTAACCGGTATTTTTCGTTTTTTTTGAGAATTCTGAGAGATTACGATCAACTTTGAAAAAACAGAATGAACCATTTTGAAAATATTAGTTTAGCTGCCATCAAAAAACGTTTTAAAGATTTTAAGAAGTCTAGTCATAGCAAAAATTACATTAGATATAACAAAGGATAAATTATCCACTTTATATTTCTGTGAACATTTAATTGAAGTGGGTATAATACGAGTGTTCTGAAAGCGCAAAACAACTCTTGTTGAAAAAAAAATGTTAAAAATAAACAATAGATTCAAAATCGTAGTAAATCTACAAATCACATTTTTCTCCTTGACGAGAGTATACAATCTATTAAGAGATCACCCGATGAAAACGGTAGAAAGCAAGTTGTCAGTTTCAAACTGATTATTGATGTTATTCCGCTTATTATACAATTTTCCAAAATCCTGTTTTATATTAGGTTCAGAAACATAACGTTGACGTCATTTATTTTTCACCATAAATTCATTGTAAAGTCTATCGAATTTTCAGAGAATAAAACGAATCTACTCAAGATTTTTGCAACAATCATTTCAGTAAGAGGCAATTTACATACTATATATATATGTATGTGTACGTGTAACATTTAAAAAAATAATAACGTACCTCACGTCACGTTCTAAATGCTGATAGTATTGCAGTCACATTTTTCATGAATAACCGAAAACCATTTTCAGTTTTTCTCAAAATCGATTCATCAAGATCTTTATCAGTATTGAAAGAGAAAACGTGAGCGAAACGCTTGAAAAAATGGACGCAATTGAAATAGTTTCGGTGGAGTATTCCTACTTTTAACTAACAAGTGACAATTTCTCAGAAATACGCGCGCATGTCACACATTTTTGACAAACCAAGGTAACGCCAAGGTGCTAAACGATGATGGATGTGTTCGAATGTTTACGGATTGCATAATAATTCGTTCCATCATTGTCAACACATTGGAGAACATTAAAAAAAATGTTACGCAATCGTATATCCATTGTATACACGCGAGCGTCAATTATCAAATTGTATAGGTGAATCGCTTCTGTTCACACCATGCCATTCGAATCTATAATTTTCTCGACGGCCTTCCAACAATGTCATTTAAATTGCACACTGTCGGCAGCGGCTTTTTTTCCATTCTTGTTATATTTCTGACCATTCCTGTATGAAAGGAATGGGTTGCGATGCGCCCAATAATTATATCAGGTTAGATCGAAAGAGCGGCAGCATATAATTGTAGTGGAATTACGGTTGCCAACTGTTGGCAGTCGAACGTTTCCAACCTTATATTTCTCAATGTTTGAATTTAAGTTTGTCCTTTTCACGAGGATACCACGCGTAAGTTTTTCTCAATTCAAAGTCTTACAAAAGTTGATCGGATTTGCGCAGATCAATGTTTTATTTTTTCAACGTTTTCCATTTAATGCGTTGGTCATCAGAACTGGAACGTTTGACATCACATTGTAAGTTGTTGGTTAAATTTTTTGAATAGATTTGAAATAAATTGTATTCATTTTTTGTTGTGATTGGAAATGTCTGAAATTGCTATGGTATTTCTGAAGTATTTGCTTTTCACATGACTTTTATATACGTAAGAGGTTACCTTGAGAATGCAACACACCCGACCATTGCATTAATAAAATGTGAAAAGTCCACAAGATTTCATTTCGCTCAAGGTCTCCACTTAGTCTTGACAAGATTAAATATTATCGCAATATTGACTAATTGATCAAAGGACAAGGGTCAATTACTTCCATGGTCATTCATTATCAAATCACTTTATCGGGGACCATAATCGTTACCGTCACGCCAATCTTGGCCTTTCGACGGCCATCACTCATTTGACTCACTCTTATCCCATAACCGACCACCATCTCGCCGTTGTTCATTTACGTGACCCCAACCAACCAACCAACCATCTTATCGCTTTTTCCCATATAAGAGGGATCGCGAAGGCGTTGAAGGAGAAAAAGAATTAGAAGGAGGTGATGATGGTAAGGAATGGAGAAAACGCGCGCATCCACCGTCGCCCCGCCCCACTCTTCCCCAGCCCTACTGCCTTTCTTTTCTGCAACTGTGCTACGCGCATTCTTGTGTGTGTGTGTGAGGAGATGTGTGGTATTTCTCCAACCATTTGCATGCGGGCGCTCCATCTTTGTGTCGGAAAAAACCGTCGAACGACAGATTTTTTCCGATATTTTACCCTAGCCGTCTGTCGTGTCAAACATTTAGGATTTGTTCACGATTCATAAATTCTGTTTCTGCGCGCGATGAATAATTTTCTTCCGTTTCATTTTAGCCTTGAATTGTTGAAAAACAATTAATTCGCTTTTATTTCTCACTATTTCTTGTTTATACCAAACAACGTCTTCTTTCAGATCATGGGATTGCCGCTTAATATCTTATTAGGTCTGCTTTTTTGCTCGATGGTTGCATCTCAAATGTTGCCGCAAATGATGATGGCGCAAGTCAAGATTACGGATGAACCCTTCCCAGTTGCAAATGCTGAGCAACTCAATCAAGTCGTATGGACAATGCTTGGAACATCAACAAAAGAAGCCATTTATTGTGTGTCTGAAGCTCCAGTTTCTCAGCTCCGGTTTGTCTGCACTGATTGCCTTGAGAAGAATATTACCGATATGGTGAATGTATTGAATGCTGCACAAGACCTCACAAGACGTGTTGGATTTCCAGTAAGTTATTTATTCTAAACTAAATATATTGTGATATGTTGATGTGGCAATTTCTTCCTCTTTCTCTCATACTTCTCGTGCCATAATCCGCTCGTGTTATCTTGTAAAACAAGACTAGTTTTGATCGAATAAGGCAATCGATTATGATGATGAATAAGTTTTTTTTTTTCTTCTAACATCATCAGATTACACTTTCGTATAACCCATAGGACAGGCGTTTTCTATGAGTGGAGATCCTTCTACTAATTATAATAGCGGGACGATGTGTACATATTTGCATGCATAAAAAGAACGCAAAGAAAAAATAAGCCTCTTGGCAGGTCAAGGCTGCCGCCGCCGCACTTTCTAATCAACCACAAAGATCTTACCGACATTATTTGTACATGACCATAGCGGCGGATTAACTTGTTTCTAGTTGTCATCAGTTAATCCGACGAATGTGACACAGCGAACATATGTATTGTTTCGCATAAAATCATTTCGTCTTTACGATTTTTCTCACAACAAAAATGTTTACAATCGGTGTGAATTTGCGTGCGTACACGGTATTTGGTTCAATTTTATTTGCACAGTGATTTTTTTCGGCACGAAAATAATATTATCCACGTGTAATGACGATAGGAATATTATCTTGTGCAATCGCTCCAGATTGCGGATGCAGATTGCGGCTCTCTAAATGATTTGAAGGATTGATTGGTGCGAAATCCTCAGAATATGGATGGGCGGCGAGATCAAACGCGTTGTGTTTCTTTCAAATTTCGCGTAACCTTTCTTGTCTTTCACAAACGTTTTGAATGAGAAAAAAAAGAAAGAATTGGGAAAACAGAACTTTTTCTGTCCGTTGAATCATCGTAGTAGCCATTATCGAATTTCGGACATGTGTCGTTGTATTTGCATGCATATTATTTGAGCAGCATTGAAGAATGGAGGCCTCGCGTGAGACATACGTTCTTTGCCAAACTATGTAAACACGGAGTAAATATATTTCATATAGACTATGAGTCCAACATTATGAATATCAAAAATGTCCCTTTGGATTAGAACGGAAACTCAGACATAACTTCACGAAATACGATGATACAGTATTCCGATTTTTCCACATCGTTAATCTGAACGAGCGTCGCTCGTTTTGCCGGTCCGTTTATGCTTACGAGCGACGTTTTATGCAAAACGGATGACGGTAAAAAACTGTAACTCGCACCGTGTCATAATGTCACTAAGTGACAAAAAAGGAAATAGATTAGTAACATAACTTGTATAGATGACAACAAATTCAATTACAGACGGTGACACTCAAAAACATCGCCGTGAATACAAATTGGACTGGCGCAACCATCATGTGCCAGGCTGCCTTGAATGGAGGTAAATTGAACAAAATAATTTTGTTCTTAATTTATAGTCATGTACAGGAACTGTCGATTCTGCTCCAGCAACAGTTGATGTCAGATATCTGAGGCAACCTCACGTTGTAGATTCCAACGGACACTCGCCTGTCCTTATCGGAAATCAAGGATACCGGTATGAGCCTTTTCTTTGTATGATAGTGGTCATAAAAACAATATATGTTAGAAATTTATGTAGAACTGAAAAGTAAAAGAAACGAATGAAATTCATTGCTTGTTTAGATTCTTTGTTGAATGCGTGCGCGGAGCTGACGGATTGTGCCAGCAAAGTGGCCGTCGTAAAACTCTCAAATGCAATGTTCAATCACATCCGCCTGCCACTCAATACAGATGGTTGAAAAATGGCAGTCCAAGGTTATCATTTCGTGGGAGGAATTCGCAACAAATTGATTTATTTCAGTGGAACTGGTGCCGAAATCACGATTGGAACGGAAATGATCGGTCAATCGATTCAATGTCAAGCAAACAACGGCCTCTACCAGGAATCGGAAATGCCAACATCTCAAGCGGTTCAAATCGATCCATATTGTATGAATTACTGCTTTCTTAATCGATCTATCATTTATTATGATTTTAGCATCTGCCAAGCTTATTCAAGACAATTTCCAACAACTCCAGTCAACTGCCCCATTCATGGCAAACAATAGAATAGAAATGAATCAACAAATCAATCTCGGTTGTCAAGTCGAAGGAAATCCACGTCCAATCGTTTATTGGCGACTCCGTCGTCCAAATGGTGAAGTAGTTGACGCTGCCTGCCCACAAGGATTGGAGGGCCAATACCAGGAAATTGCTCCAGAAGGAAACAGACAACCAGCAAATATTGTGGTATATTGCAAGTTGTTGAAACGAATAAAAATTATGCTAATTGCAGAGACTGACAGCTCTTTGCTCATTGAGAATTGCCAATTACTCTTATTCTGGACAGTATTGGTGCGCTGCATGCTCGCAAGTTAGCCAAGGAGAACCAGAATGTTCTCCAAGCAGAGAAACTCCAGGATCTTCGAGTCTTACTGTTCAAGTTATTGGAGCTCCAAGCAACTCTGATTCTTCACCTACGATTGAGCAGGTAAATGTTTTGCTAGAACCGAACCACTACAATTATGCAAATTACAGCGTGGAAATGATGCCATTATTACTGTCCATTACTGTGCTGAACCAATGCCACGACCACCGCGGGAAGTCGTATTCAGTGTTGATCAGAATGACCTCCAAGTATGTACACGTTCCTAATTATAGTGTTCTGCACTTTCTAATAAGTTGCCCTTCTCTTTTCTTTACCACAAAACATTTAATGACCGCTGGCCCAAATTTGAATCGGGTATTCGATTTAGGATTAATTCGGTGAGGTATACAAACAAAATTAATTGGGGGGGGGTGTTCCGACGGGAATCCTTTCACAAATAAATGAACAGATCGTAAATGGTATGTGCTAGATGAATTTCAAATTTTATTCAGGTTGGTCAAGCTTGGGAGAACTTCCGCTTCGAGAGCACTGTGTTGAATAATACTGTTCCAAACTGCTACATGGCACGCCTTCAAATCTCTCCAGTTCGTGAAGAAGATCAATATCGTCAGATCAGTTTGAAGCTGCAAAATCAGTTCGGCACAAAACAGTTAGTGTTCCTTTATGATTATAATTTTCCTCGGTATTCAAATAAACGAATATGTTTGCCGAGCACCTCTCTCATCGCTCAAGAGGCATTATGTACGCGGAGACAGTAGAAAGGGTCAACGTGCACAAGGGGTCAAACCTTTCCTTTTTGGATACGGTCGGTCCACCCAGTATGTAATAACCAAATATGGATGGCGAAAGAGAGAGGGGTCAACCGAATAATATTCTTGTGTAAACAATAGGTGTTCTGAGAAACGAATAATTAAGTATTTATTAATGGGAGACTGTGAATAAGGATGAATAAGTTAATGAATGGTGTTTCAAGTGGTGATTGATTACAGGATCCCAGTGTCATTGGATGCATTGTTGGGCGGTGACAGCACTATGTCAGGAAAAATCTCAGGATGGTGGATTGCACTTATTGCAGCTGCAGCGGCTCTTCTTCTCTTTATCTGCATCGTTACCATTTGCATCAAACAGAGTATGTTGAGTGATGACGTATCGATAGTTACATTTTACATTTACAGAATACAAGGATCATTCCGATTATAGTGAGCCAAAAGCCAAGGCCAAGTAAGAACATGAAGCAATGCCGAACATTTTCAATTTGTCTTTTCAGTTTGCATTCCAGAGAAAACTTTTTCGAAACAGGCCCAGAAGCTCCACGATTGTTCGCTCAGCCGCCTACAGAGGTATGCGACCCCGGATATGGAGTATATTTAAGCCGCGAGGCAGTCGTTTAATAATCTTTATTTTATCCAATAACTTGTTATCCTTCACTCGGTTTTCGATTGTTCCTATCCTTTTAACCATGTGATAACGTTCATGATTTCCTTTCTTCTCTTAACCGGCCGTTTCTGTTTTTAGGAAAATGCGTACGAGAGAGCTGTCCAGGATGCTTATTGCGACTCACGCATGTCAACCGTCTAACACACTTTGTGTTGCTTTTTGTGGGTATCTCAGACTTCTAAAACCAATCGTAACTTTCGCTTTTAATTTGCATGCTTTGCTCAATAATGTTTCGTTTATGGTTTATCCCCAAACCTCTTTACGCCCGCCCCCTTTTCCCCCAGTTCCATTCTTAAGTGTATTTGATGAGGCAATTTAGAAAAAACCTGCTGCTGTGTTCCATGAAGGCGTTAACTATGCTGAACTTGAACTTAAAAATCAATTAGTTGCTCCACCGAGTGCTAGTACCGTTTCGTTGAGTTCAGTAGCTAGTAGACCTCTAAGGACTTTACCTTCTGTGCAGTCCGATGTTTAAATTGAGAGTTGGTGTAGCTCACACGCGATTTCACAAGTTTCGTATGGGTGTCTTTACACGTTTTTAAGTTCTGCTTTTACGTCATATATGTGTCACTTAATGATTATTATTATTATGTTTGGTGCATTTATTCTTTTTATAATACTTACTGTATTTTTTTAATTGTTTACTCTTCCTTTTATATTATTCAATCCGTTCAACGGATTTGTTCATTTCGTTTTTTCATATCCTTGATGTTTTTCAATGGTCAGCCATTTTTTATCCAATTCGGGTCTATAACGATATCTCTCACAATTGCTGCACATTTTTTTCTGAGAATGTTTCTACTTCCTCAGGCACCTTGTATGCTTCTTAATTGATCTAATTCCGACAAAAGTTCTTTCTCATTGCGTTTTTTTTTTGAAAATAAATGACGGAAATAATTGTTTTTTAATCAGTCGATTTCATTGTTTTATACATTTTCAGTTTTTCATTGTGAGAGAATGTTTATAAGAATTTTGAAAAAGTGAAAAATCATAATAAGAATTGTGTATCTTCTAATAAGAAAACTAATTGGTGTTGTAGGTGAAGGTACAGTACCGCTCAAAAGGTTGGAAACTTTTGGTTTTTTGGGCATAACTTGATCGAAAATGTATGGATCGAGGTGAAACTTTCAGATATATTGATAAATATAATCAGAAGATTGTTGGTTCGGTAGTCTTATCATACGCAATTATGTGTGAAGTTTTTGTGGGCTTTTTAATTTTTTTCCAAAATCACTTTTTTTCAACTTTTTTTTCAAAAGTTTTTTTTTACTATTTTTCTGTGCTTTTTTTTGCATTTTTGTAATTTTAGACATGTCCACTATCGAAAAAAAACGGAACTTGACTGTTGAACAACAACGGGCAATTTACGCAGGGCGTCAAACAGGAGCAACCCTTCAGATATTGGCCCCCCCAGTTTGATGTCACAAAACCTTGCGTTTTCAAATGTTTCAAAAGATGGGAAACTCAAGGAGGAGTCCCAAAGAAGTACCATATTGGACCTCCACGCGTGACAGATCATGCGACTGATAGAAGCATTGCACGAGCCTCCAGATTCAACCCGCGAATGATGGCACCGGCGATCCAGCGCGAAATTTTTGCCAATTCTCCATCGCCTGTTTTGGTATCAACAATCAAACACCGTTTATCAGCGGCAGGATGGTTCGGAAGAAGACCAGTGAAGAAACCGTTCATTTCGGAGAAGTATAGACGACGGTCCAGTGGGATAAGCAACATCTGAATTGGACGCGATTTGACTGGAATGGTGTTTTTTAGTCGGATGAGAGCTCTTTGGCAGTGACGGAATTCAATGGGTCCACCGTCCTGTAGGTTCTCGATACAATCCCAAGTATCAAACTCCTACCGAAAAGCACGGGGGAGGCAATTTTATGATTGGGGGTACCTTTTCCGGAAAAGGCATTGGCCCCCTTTACCATGTGAAAAGAATCATGGATCGCTTCGTCTATGAGGAGGTCCTGTAGAAGCAGATGTTGCCGCATTTTAAGGCAATGGATCGTGGTTGTGTTTACTAACAGGACAACGACCCAATGAACACTTCCAAATTTGTGAAATTGAGAAAATTCGCTTTTTTTCTCAAATATTCATCAAATGAGGATTGGTTCGTAAGTCAGCACATCAAGGTTATGGACTGGCAAAGTCAATGCCCGGACTTCAATCCCATCGACCACTTGTGGGAAGAGTTGGAGAGAAGAGTGGCAAGCAGAACTGCCACAAATTCGAACGAAAAGTTCCGACAATTGGAAGAAGAATGGAAAAAGATTCCACTCTCGGTCATCGACAACTTGATCGAGTCCATGCCTCGCAGGTGCCAGGCTGTTATTGACTCCCGAGGCTTTGCAACCAACTATTAACCTTATAATATTAGTTTCCAATGATTTTGTGTTAATAAACTATTTTTCCGGTTAAAAAAACCGACTAAAATTGCATATCCAAAAAAATGTGTTTTTACGGATTTCTGAAAAAATGGCCTAAAATCCTTATTTGTTAAGCACGAATCATGTCGAATAGCTCATTATATCGGCAATTGCGTAAGAAACAATCGGAAAAAAAGTTCATAGGAAAAAGTTTGGTTTCAAAAAAGTTATGCCCAAAAACCCAAAAGTTTCCAACCTTTTGAGCGGTACTGTATATTGGAGTTTCTGTTCGTTATACTACGCGCTTTCTTTTTTGCAGCGATATTCTTTGACTTTTAGATGTTCTTCGTGTTACTTTAGTTTTCTTCGCTTTTCAATTAATGTTTCAAAATAACACGGGTGTTTTCGGGGTTCTTTCTGTGATATTTCCGTCACGGTGTTGTCACGCATTTTCTAGTGCTACAATTTATTTCAACTTTTCTGATCGTTTAAACCTCGCATTTTAATAAATCAAGCTCAAACACAAAAACATATTTGCTAGAAAATGGGGAGAATATTTCTATTTTTTCTTTGAAAATTTCAAATTTACGAGTTTGGGTGGTATCTTAAATTCATGCACAATATTTTGGATGCTACCATTTAAACTTTTTTATTACTTATATATGTATTGAATATTCTATCTACCCTCAAAATCTGTACATAATGCATTATTTAAAAAATTACATTTATTCCGTTATCACATTTATTAAAAACATTAAATCCCGATATTACCTTCCAATAAGCATTGCTCTCTCTTCATCGCAAAAACAGGGCTCATCTGGGCTATGAGAATAAACTTTACACGAGCAGCGTAATATTATTTGGGGTGTACTTCTTATTGTCTCATATACATCGGGTGTGAATATCTGACAGGACAACAGAGTCATATTTATATTATTCTGAATAGCTGGCTCGATAATTCTCGCTGACGGAATATCGCACTCCGTCAAGTGAAGATGTTTAGTCTTCTTCAGTTTCAACAAACTTTCCACTAAATCAATTTGCTTCCATTTTGAAAGGTTCCAAACTGTAACGTCGCCTATTAATATTATAAATAAAACTATAAAATTACAATATACATAAACTGAATATGGTGTGGTTCCGGTTTCTAAGATATCGCATAGTTCATCCACATATTCTTTTTCAATTGGAATTTCAAGAATTTTTGTAGCCCAATCAATGTCGAGCGACACCAGAACATTGGCCGCCCGGAAAGAAACGTGAAATACTCTGAAGTTGCAATATCGTAGCAACTTCAAGTCTAATTCTGGAAGGTTTTCTTGGATGAAACCGAGCCTAACAATTTGTTGAGCCATATCTATGAAACTTCAAATATATTATAATCAACAAGATAACAAACCTTTTAATTCGTCAATTTCATTTAGATTTCTAAAAATTGCGATCTGTTGGGGGCCCTTAAACATATTAATAAAGCTCAGATATTCGAGCGTTATTATATCTACAACCGCCGCCATATCAACGTCAATTGGTAAAATTCGGTTCCATATATTTACAACGTTGTCGATCACTTTGCGGCCGAACAAAGAATTTCGCGAATGTAGAATTTGGCTTTCAAGCAAAATAAGGCACGTAAGTTTCAAAATAGAAATCTTGAAGTTGTTCATCTCCTAAATATTCTTGTTTAATTGCACATTAAAGTATTTTAAAAATGGTTGGCACAGCGAAGAAATATTTTTTTTTTAAGTTTAAAAAAATTTGGACTATGGTATTTTCGATATCAATCAGTCGTTTTTAAAGCTATGAACAAAAAAAAATTTAATAGCGCTTCATTGATTTACATTAAATTAGTCGCTCAAAAACGTATGTAATATAATGTGTTACCCAAGATACGAACATATTGCACATATACGCGTTTTGTTAGCGCGTCTACGTCTATGTTGCAGTTGTGCTGAATATGGAAGGACAAGGCATCTAAGGAAATATACGGAGGCGAGGAGGTGCAGAGAGTATGTCTGTGCTCGATTTGGCAATGCGCATCTGTAGCCAGTAAAATCCGTGTTAAAAAAAATATATAAATTAATACTAATTCTTAAACATTTTTATCCTACAAATTTTGTGAAAATTTAAAAAAAAACTGGTAAAAAAAATTTGTGCTTTTATATTTTTTTGTTAAATGTTCATAGTGCCATATAATAATTGTCATTTTTAAATCTTTCTGATAAGAAAAACGAATTCCGGCCGTTCGGACCCTCAGTTTTTACATTTGAGAAAAACCAAAAAAGGCTTTTAAAAAAGTATTATTTTGAAAAGTATTATCAGATTGTTAAAATCTCGAATTATTTTCTTTCCGATTGTGATAAACTTTATCACAGTGATATGAAAAAAGAAACGTATATAAAAGAGCGCTCTAAGATTATGGTATCATATTCAAAGAAATGTAATCTTTGTAATAATTATAAAATCAACATGAAAATTCAAGAAATTTTCTGTGATAATGGCAAGGTTGTGTTCAGAAGAGTTTGGGTGACTAAAAATTCGAAATGAAACAAAGTAAATCGGGTGCGCAGCCGGTATAGATCGATTTCCTTGTGAAGAAGATCATAATTCTCATATTCTGTAGGGTAAGTGCCGACTCGGCTTCAGTTCCAAAAATCTGCTAAATATTACTTCTTCTAGTTTTTCATTTCAAGGACAAGAGAGAAATGGAAGATCTATTAAATTTTTTTTTCCATTTTTATTCCTAAATAAAACACAAGCAGGTTATTTTGGTGACAAAGCTAACTGTAGTTTTTTTTTTTTTAATTTCACAGAAGTGAATTTTTTTCTGAGAAAGCTGAAACAGAATACGTTAGTAAAAGAATACCATCTAATTTGCGCGATTTCATTAACATTTTATTAAATCTCGAGAAAAATTTGGGTTTCATATATTTTATTAAAATAATAACGTCATAAGTATGTTGTTAAGTACTGACCGATTTTAGAAAATTCGGCTGTTTTGTCATAAATTAATCGGGATTAGCACTGGGATATTGCGCAAAGAGCGTTTGAATTTTATGGAAGATAGAGCGGGTTCTCATGCCCGTGCATATGCATCTTCTTCTCTGCGTTGGCTCCACACTCAGCGAGGACTGTAAATATTTTCACTTTACTTCATATTTCTATTATATTGCTAGCAAACTTTGGTAATGCTCTGGAAGAAGCTCGATGGTTCTTTCGCGACGCTTGTAAATACAGTATCTGAGAGCTTGGCAGCAGCAAAGACTATAATGATATGAGTCTTTCAGGATATTTTAACTTTTAAAATCTTACGTAAGGAACATTGAAACAAAGAATATGAAGAAGAATTGAAGATTGTCCTTTTCGTTGGCTTCATCACCTTCGAGTTTCATGTCAACAATTACTGTTTCCTTCAACGCCTCAAGTTCCCCGATTTTCTGAAATATTCAGTGAAAATTTTAGTAAATTGAGCAAGTTTTTACCTCGATTGGCTTTACACGATCATCAACCCAGCTGTCCCATTCCACCTTATCTTCTTGAATCTCTTCATCCAAATAATCGACTATTGGCGCTGGTGGAAGTGTTGGTGGTGCTCTTTGGCGTATCGGCACTTTGATCAACTTCTCGAAGGTTTTCTTCACTTCCGATGTTTCCAAAACAATTGAAGGCTCCGATATATCATCATATTCCGGCATTTCATCTTGTCCAAATAGTCCAAAGTGCTCTTCGACTTTCGCTTGAATCATACGTTCAAATTTCTCATTTTCGAGGTTGTTCTCGTTTTCATTATACTCGTCTTCCTTATAGTCGTCGTAATCATCTTCGTCTCCCTCAAAGGTCTCCATTTCGCGAGAACTCATGAGCTGCACCTTCTTGTATTTTTTGTTGTTCAGACGTTTCATGTCAACAAACTCCAAATTGGCCATCAAACAGTTGTTTTGGAACGAGGCGATAACTGAGTCGGACATTGTCTTCTCATCAATCTCAATTCCACACCATTCGCACACGGTGTCACTTTGAGAACGGCAGGGAGTTCTGAACTGATAAATTTGGAACCGTTTTCAAATTTTGATTTTCGCGGCTCACAACTAACCTCTCAAACATAAACTCGCGGCAAGATGTGCAGGTGGTGCATTTTTCGGTTTCACTATTGTAATATTCTCTCTGAAAAAAAAAAAACAATCAACTCATTGTTAGTCCTTAAAATCAATATTCACACATTTGAAATTTTATATTCGAATTCTTATCACTTTATTGTACGTGCGACGCTACACTACTCAATATATCATATGATATGCTAGCAATTTCAATCAATGTTGTCAAAATATTCATGGGCTCATGTTCCGATTTGAGACGGTCTAAACTTCGAAAAGCTATTCTTTACTGAACAAAACTTTACAGTTCCCTTATCAAAATAAATTTCATTGTAACTTAATAATTTCTAATATCGTTAAAATGACGTACCTGCCCGCAAGTAATCTTGCCGTTAAATCTCTTGATATCGGTGACATCATCATCCTTCAGATTGAGCCGAGTGGCTGTAAGCGCACCACTGATGAGCTACAATGAAGAAAACATAAGTTACTTTCGATTGTGTACGATTCGGTAACTTACTAGTGGAAGAAGTAAAAACATGGAAAACCGCATTGTCGATAACACAACTGATTGAAATCGTTACCCTAAAATATGACAGCATATGTTATCATTCGGCACAGCGCTAGAGAGATAGTAGACATGAATTGATAAGAATGGGCTCATTTAAACATCAAATTTTCGTTTTTTTTTAACAAGAACTGTAATTGGAAGTATTACTCGTGACTGGAACTACAAATGAAATCTGTTGCTGGTGTGGGACAGCTGGTAGAATGAAAGGAGAAGAGTTGAATGTAGGAAATTAAGTCGGAACGAATATATGAATGCAAGTGCTCTATTTATTCATATTCCCAAAGAGGCGTGGCACAAGCCTACAGTACTGCCTGTTACCGATGCTCCATCGATCGCCCGGACCGCCCACTAGTATCCAACTTCGCGAATGGATATTATGAATGAAGAAAAATGATCTAAAATTTATTGGATCGAAATTCAATAAATGGACTAGAAACTCGAACTGATGCAAATGCGATTATTGAACGGTTTATTGGGTGACAACTGCACGTTTTACGACTTTATAAGATAGTGAAGTGCTGTTCTGTGAAATCAAACCATGCACATGCACACTTTCAATAAATAAACAAGGCAAATCCTGGCACGACCTCATTAAGCAGTAGAAATTTCTATGATTACTAGTTCTGTGATATGAAAGAAGAATATTTGTGATAGGCTTGGTTCACTCTTTCATCAAGTTGTGTAAATTGTCAAATTTTGGTCAACTTTCCTGATACTTAATGCGTTTACATGTTTAGATTATGATCTGTTTCATTTACCAAATAATAAACAATTCAATTTGAGTGAGATGAAATTTTATATCACATTATGAAAAAGGCATTTCATATAAACTAATCGAAATAATATAAAATCAGCGGTGCGGTGTTAAATTCTATTCTTTAAGAATAAACCATTATCAAATTAAAAACATAACAATTCTGGATTTTTTTCTCAAATTTGCAATGTCGGATACCTTATAAGAAATGACAACGTCTTATCTTGAAATAACTTGTAATATATAACATTTCTAGTGAACTTAAGCTTTTGGAATGAAGTTCGGCTAGACTTCTTGATTGCTTTCGAATTTTCGTTTAAAGCATTTTTCATTTGCAGCGAAACTAGAAAATTGAAAGAATTTCTGTTATAAAACATATAAGTTTGAAAATCTAATATTTATTTCGAGTACATATCTTTACAAATAAAACCATATGTAGTGCATTCAAATCGAGGTCATCGTTCTCACGTGGCTCGTAAAATATAGTGATGAACCTGCACATAAAGGGTGAGAAGGATACACTTTCACACTGTTAATGTTTATGGGATGCCAAAAACGCGCGGCTTTGTTTTTGATCCATTTCACAATGGCAATTGTCTGTGGGCTCCGGCTCGTTTAGTGTTCTTAATAAATTTGATGTGCTCATGGCCACACTTTTTATATACGTTTGATGAAAAGTATTAGAATAAAAGTATAGAGGACGTGCTTATTAAGCAAAAAATATCACAAAATAAAAAAGAGGAACAAAAATCGAACGTGTTGTCACATCGAAAAAAATAGCCATTATTAACGTGCAAAACCATTTTTTATTGAAAACATAGTTTTTACAGGATTTTTCTATTTTTGATCATTTTTATAAGACGATGGAAAACAGATAAAAAGAAATATGGCTGGTTCAAGTACGATTTACAAGTTAGGTGACCAAATGACAGTTAATTTTGGCAACCACGAATGCCATTGTTGTCATGGCAAATACACAAAAACCGATTTCTACCGTAACCACCACAGTGGACAAATTTTATTGGAATAAATTTGTATGAGTGTTTTTTTTATGTTTTGGGATCTTTAAATTTTTTCCATTTTCTTCACTTTGGGACTTATTTATTCCTCGTGTAAAATAATAGATTGCCCTTTTGTTGCTTCAAAGTTAACTTCGAAACTTGAGGAATACATAATTTAAGAATTAATGCAATACAAACTATTTGATAATTAAATAACTTCGACATTGAATAACAGGTTTCGGATGAAACAGAATTCTCAGTAGCAACACCCACAAGAAATTACTCATTTAACTCAATTTTTGTATCCATTTTCATGATTGCATTTTTGGAAACGTTTTTATTGGGATATATTTCATTGGGAATGCATTCCACGATCTTCAAGCTTTACTCTTTTAATGGTAGGCCCGGCTTTACAAAAAAACTTTTTTCAACTCCACTTTGAGCTATCTTACAATAAATTACGGACCTAATTATCAAACTGATTGGCAGCAACGCAACTTTTAACTGGTGAGCCACTAACGCGGATATACGAAATTCTGAATGCAGACGAATCTACTTAGTTTTTAGAAATATTTTCTGATTTATTGAATCACGAGGATTCATTCTGTCCTGTTTGTGTCCTCATGAACATGCTCGAAGTTTTTTTTTTAAAGTTTTCGTTTCAAAAAATTATTATTCACTTCAAAATACCGCCGGCGTCCAATAAAAATTTTTACAACATATATATGTGAAATTCTTTTCTGTTTTTTAGTTTGAACATTTTTTGTTCAATAACACATCAAGTGAGAAAAACAACAACTACCTAACCTCTGTAAAAAAAAAATAATTTACTTTAGTTTTTCCACGGTCTACAGTGTTTTAACTGTCAATTTTTATGAATTTTTTTGGAATTGTGCGACGATAATCAGAACGCGTAACATATATTAATAAATAATGGGAAAGCATTAATTTTGGCGGCACAATTGAAAACATGGTCTCACGCCGTTATCAAAAATTATAGCCGCACCTCTCTCTTTGTACCTCCGAAATTTATGTGAAACTCATATTGTAAATCTTTATTTGAGTTCGGTGTTCTTTTGAACTATTTTCCCACGATTTCATTCATTTTTTCGAATATGTTGAAAACCTTGAGGTGTAAAACAGATAACCCAGAAATAAACGATGAACGCATCACAGTTATTTTGCCTATGTAGCACGTCTGAAAGCAACGAGTTAGACTCATCCCATCCGGATAAAAGGCATGTTATTTTTTGACAAAATATAGACGCCTGTGTCAAAACACGAGATTTTATTTTGCCCATTTCTAGAACAACTAGAGCACGGAAATCAACCTATTAAAAGTAAATAAACAATTTTCTTATTATTTTTGTGGTCACTCTGTATAATCCTACGAGAAATATACAAACCACCAGTGTTTTGTGGTTGAAATCTCTTCAACTCCAAAGTACTGTGCTATTTGATTTCGTGATGTAAAAACATTGCTTTTCTTTTTTAAAACACAAATCGAAACCAACCAACATATCTTTATTAAAATAAATACGATCAAAACATGGAATATAACTCAAAGCTATAAGTAATCTTCTACAAAATATTGAAATCAGGCAATATTTCAACATGAAACGGGTATACATAAAAATAAAAAAAAACAGAAAACATGCAAACCAATTCAGTTATTATTTACACCAATTTGAATTCTACTCATAAAAAATGCAATTAAAGCAAAAATTGTGCGCAGGGTCTCAAGACAATCAGAAGATTTGTGAAAAAATGTACAAGTTTTTGGAATTAATTTTTGGTTTCATCCCATTATTAGGCTTACAAAGATCTTCGAGAAGGCTAAGGAGGACAAATATGTTTTAAATACTGAATAGGGTGAAACTAGAGAGCGTCTAAAATGATTAATATATTTTTTGGTTATTATATAGTTTCCAATTTATAAGTATTCAGATTTCGTTCACTGGTTCAGTTTGAGTTGGATGTTGTTCGGTTTGATTCGTCTCGGTCATTTCAGTCGAGCATTCGTCCAAGTATCTACAAACGAAACGTCAAAAGCTTTTGCTCGTTCATTGTTATGAGATACCTTTCAAAATCCACAATCGGACGAGTGTCATCTGGTCGACGAGCGGCATCTCTCCACGAGCGCAACGAACGAGCGCACAGCAATCTTTGATTATCGATACGGCGCATTCGGTGTTGTTTAGCGCTGAAGTTAAAACTTATTGATCCATAAATATGAAAATATAATATGAAGAATTCAGAAAAAATATATACCAATATAAAACGAATTATTTCTTTCAGTATTTTTAGATTAAATGAATCATATAAATGTAACAAATTATCTTTTAACTTCTATTAATATCGGATAAAATATATAAATGCTATAAAAACACTTATGTTTATATCGTTACCATATTCAATTATTTTGAGTTCGACGACATTTTGACAATTGAATAATATAATGCTCGTTCAAAATTGAGTATCTATTCGACCTCGGAAATTTCTTTTTGAAGCGTTTATTTCCCCAAAGAATGCAATGGAGTTCATTCAAAACATCTGGATTATTTTAGTTAGATAAATATTGCAAGTTCTTGCCGGTTTCATGAAAAACATACTGTTGAAGAACGTTAGAAATCAAATTAGAAAAATAAGTTTGAAACTATGTAACGTGGAAAATCTGTTTAATCCATAATTTTTCGGGGATATGGGGAATTCATCTGCTACAAAAAAGATTAATTCTTTGACGTTCTATGGTTCAAAACATAACATCGACTTTACTTTTAGAAAAATATTCCGTTTGACTTGAATCATTAATCATTTTCACTTTCACAAAAAATAAAACTAACTTCAAAGTCCAGTTTACTAAGTCAATGCAAATTGAATGTAGCGAATTAACAATTCAATGTCTTCTTTCCAACTACTTTTCACTTCAATACGTGTTCAATCCAATATTATGCAATTTCGTTCAGAGTTCGTTTACACTTGTTTTAATGGTCTACTTTGAGAAAACTGGGGATGTTGATTATTGAAGGCAGTGAAACAATCAGGTTGTTTACGAAAACCACTTTTTCAACATTCGTGTTTTGCCTTCTTATCTCAATGCGCAGTTATTGGCCTACCTGTGACGAATCGCCGACATTGAAGCGACAAATGAAAGCAATCCCGAAATGCATACGAAGAATACACCTGATCCAATTGTCACGTCATCATTTGGACGTTGCATAGCCACTTCGGATTGGCCGATAATTGCGCACACGCATGTGCACAATGTGAGCATCACTAAATGATTAAATGAATTCTCGGCAACTTGATACACTTCCTACTATTTGATAGCTCCATGATTGAATTATTGCGAATCCAAAGAAGAAATCCTCCGGGCGGCGGGACGAGGTTCATTGAGCAGGCTAGTGATGATGAAATTGCGACGACGAAGCAAAGGGCAATAAGTATGTAGAATAAATTAGCAATAGCCGGAGTTATGCAGTCCAGGATAACTGAAATATATATGCAAATATGAAACTGAAACATTCTAGGATACCTCTTCCGTCTGAATGAAAAGCAATGTGAGATCTTCCATTCTGGTCAATGAAACCACCAAAACGAGCAGGCTTCCAGAAGTCGCGACAACCTGCGAAAGAATGTTCTACGTTGAAAATAATCGAAATTACCAATTGATTCACAACGATCCGCATTTGCATTCATTTGAAACATAAAATCCGAATAGTCGACACTTGTTTGGTTGTTCACATCAGATTCGATGATGATCCAGTCATTTGAAAGTAATGCCGCAATCGCCTGCAAAGATTATAGGTTTCGACTTAATAAAGATTTAAGTAATACTAATGCTGTGGAAAAAAGATGACAGAGTGTTGCGGTTATATTGGCGTCTTTAAGGTCTAGCCTCCCAAGTAGACGCTTTGAGTTTACTGTGCTCATCAGCCCTAAATACTCAACTGTTTATTTGCAAAACAACGTTGGTGAAAAAAATGAGCGGAAATATAAACCAAAATAAAAATGAATGAGGAAGGGGCGAGCGAAATCGATCCGATGAAGTGAGAGAGAAAAGAAGCAGAGTCACCGTAGTGCGCTGTACCGCTGCACGGCCGTCGTTACAAGACCAGTGTGGCGGCCGTCCCTCGAAGATTATTTCGTGTTACTTGTTTAATTAATGTTTTCCATAATTGTTATATTAACTTATATATTTTTGCTCCCCGAAAAAATTATAAATTGTCAATCCATCGTTTCCTTATTTTGTTTTCATTATTTTTGATAGTTGATAAAATTGTATGCAATACTCGTGAATTTCAAAGAAACACTAATTTTGAACATAGTTTTTATTAATTTTGATGATAAGATTAATGAATAAAATTATTTTTTGCAGGTAATTCCAGCTTCACAGAATGTTCCGTGTTGCTGCGGTAAGAAATATATAATCAAATGAATTTCTATATTTCGGATTTTAGAGAAAATCTGTAAGTCAGTCAATTAAAAGCGTTCGTCAGCAGTCATCACAACCAGCTTCTCCAAGTCCTGCTGTTGCACCAAAGTAATATTATTTGTCGGTTAAAAATTAAATTCGATTGACATTTTTCAGGAAATCGGGGGTTGGGAAAGCTTTGGTTGGTCTTACAGTTGCAGGAGCTGGAGGTGCAATTGGCTACGCATATGTGGATCCAGAGTTCAGGCAAAAGATTGAAACAACTATTCCACAATCAAAAGAAGTTTTGGACAAGATTCTAGGAGAAACAAAAAAGTGAGTAATACGTTATTACGTAAATTTTTAAAGTTTGCATTGTTTCAGGATTACGATTCAACCGCTTCCAGGAAAACTTTCAAGCCTAGAGGAACCAAAAAAAGTCAAGGACGTTCTTCCACCTTTGGAGAAAGTTCCACTTCCGCCGGTATCCAGACCACCAATTAATGTTGATCCAGTCGATGTGAAGAAAGAAGTTGCCCCAATTGTATCACCAGCGGTTGAATTGGAAAAAAACAAGCGTAAAATAGCTGAAATTACACTATTCATCAAAAGAAAATTTTAAATTACAGAATTGGAAGATAAACTGAAAAAAGCTATCCTCTCTGCCGAAGGAAAGGTTCGTCTTGCGACTGATGCAAAATTGCGCACGATTAATGCCATCAATGAGCATGCATCTGTCCTGAAAAAAACGGTCGATGACGCTAAAAACGCCAAATGGGAAAATGTGACCTCCGCTCTTCAACAAGCAGAAGCAGAAGCTAAAAAAGATAGTGTTCATGAAGTCGATGGAAGAAATTACATTGATCTGCTTTTGAAGGTAAATTGAAGACTTTATAAACCAATTGAACAGATGGTTTGATACCAATAGAAAAATATGTTTTGTTTGACGATGCATTATTATAACTGTGACAATTAAATTTTTGATTCATACTTTGAATTATAACTAATCAAGCTGTCGCCGAGAATTTGTAGAAATAGTCACCACTTTATAAAATCAAAATCAACTTCAAATTGTTTTTTTTTTCGTTAGGCAAGTATTTTGAAATTTTCAACACCTACAAAATGAAGCAATGTAGATTCACGAAATGGTTTCGTTAATGTTTATATTATCTGGTCAATGATAAATCTAAAACACATTCGGAATATCAACTAAATTTTGAACAGCCATCATCTAAAGACTTCTAACCGGTATTTTGTCGTAATTTGACTATCCAATCGATCTGTTTAGATTGTATAATGAAATATGTAACACAGCCAACAAATTGTCTATAATTAAAAACAATTATACAAGCCCAGAAGTTTATTTAAAAAACGACATTGCAGGTCGTTAATGATGGAAAAAATGATCCACTAACCGCCACAAATCCTCTTCTTTTAAACGCACAAGAAACAGCCATTAAGCTTTCCCATCAGTTAGATGAGGTCAATGCCCTTGTGAACAAGGTAATCAAACTTCAACGACAAGAAATTATCTGAATAATGTTAAGGCTCGTCAAGAATCTTCAGTTCTTAATCAGTACAAGGACCTGATTGAAAAATCGAGAGAGCAATTTGCATTGGAGATGAAGAGTATCCTACCGAACGTTGATATTAATGCTAGGGTAAAATTAATGATCATTATGTGTGTGAAATTAAAAAGATTTCAGGGAAAAAATCTAACCGAGGAAGAGCTAAACGCTTTGATTGCGCATGCTCATCTTAAAGTCGACCAGCTTCGTCGTCAATTAACCGAGCAACAAGTTCGCGAAGAAGCTCATATTGCTCAAGCTATTCAAGAGCAGAAACTTGCCGATGAAAGAATTGCAAACGAGAAGTTATCCATTGAGCTGAACAGAGTTTCCAAGCAAAAAGAACTGGAGATCGAGAGAGCGGTTCGTTATAAACAATAGGGTTGCTTTAATTAGATTAACATTTTCAGCTCGTTAGCAGTCGTAGTTCATGGGAAGAGGAGCTGGAAAACCAATTGAAGCGAACTTCAGCAGCCCATTCAGAACATCTGGAACAAGTCATTCGTACACAAAGACAATTGTTCGAGATTGAGCACAATCAAAAAGTTGAAGAGGTAATCGTTTTCGTACGAAATTTTCATAATAATGGAAACTTTTTATTAAATAATTTTATTTTTCTAATGTCAAGAAATGAAAATCATAATATAACAAGACATCAGTTGGACAATGTTTATTTTTTAATTGAGAACATATATGAGCAAAGAAATATTATATTACACTTTGTCGAATTTCGGTATTTTTGATAAATTTCAAAAATTAAAAAACATTTTTTTTTCGATTAACAATAAATTGACCTAAAAGAGTGCGGCTTCTCTTGCATGAAACGGCTTTTCAAAATGTTATAAAATATTGTCTTAACAAAGTAAAAAATTTTGTCCGCAACTTATCCGTGTATTCAGCCCGTAAACCTAAAAATTCAGTTTTGTGTTAAGATCTCTTCCATAGCTTTTTGTTAATTTTCAATCGCGGGACGCCGATAATAAATCATTTACATATTTAAAATATTTATGCATTCTCATAATTGCTAATTCGAAAAAACTTAAAAACTCTTACTTTGTGTAAAAGAATTCCAAATATAACCGTCTTTGAATTTTCCGTTTTGCAAATAAGTTGTCTGGTGTAAAAATGTCAGAAATATCGCATTGATTTAGAAACATTTGACTCTGAAGTAAATGTGATTAATTCAGGCGGTTCTTCGCGAACGTGATCTACATAGTAAGCAAGTCGGTTTGGCACTGAGTCGTCTTGAAGGAATCGAAGATGTTCTAGGAAGTCGTATAGCTTTGGTAACCTTAACTTCAAACATGAGTAATTTGTGGACATATTTCTTTAAGGATAATGAGAATCGTCGGGCTAAACAATTCTGGATTGCCTGCCACAATTTGATTGATTACATTAAACACGGAAACAAGGCTGGAAACACAATTGATGACAGGCGGCTCCCACTGACAGAATCTCTTAAATTGTTGAAGGAAGTCAATCCGGAAGACGAGTTTGTTAAAACCATTATTGACGCATTCCCAAAACAATCGACCACCGAAGGAACCTACACTGAACAAGATTTGAAAAACAGATTCAATAAGGCAAAGCAAATTGAATCACATTTTTCCGAAACCATCTTGATTTTTAGCTATACAAAGTTGGACGTCGAACAGCATTGATCGATGATAATGGAGGAGGCCTTGGAGCATACTTTTGGTCGTATGTCAAGTCAATATTGCTTATCGATCTGCCGAAAAAATATGAGAACGATTTGGTGAATATCAGCAACATTGATAATATTGAGGTAAGAGCTCGGTGTGTGATGTAACAATAGCATTGCATTGAAAACGAGATAATTTAGTAAAGGTTTGATGTTTGCGAGAATGTTGTTTGTCACGAATTTAGTTAGCTTTAAAATTGGTCCTCGATCCCCTAAAACTGCAAACGAAAAAAAACTTTTTCGAACGCGCATTTGTTTGGAGAAAAGAGTTCTCAATTTCAATTTTTTTTTCAGATTCTTGCTTTGGCGAGACACTATGTCGAGATTAATGATTTGGATAAGGCAGTTCGCGTCGTTCAACTGCTGAATGGCGAGCCAGCTCGTCTCGCCCGTGATTGGGTGATCGATACCCGTGCTTACTTGGAGTCTCGGCTTCTAGCCGAGTTACTTGTCGCTCACGCCGCTGTCTCATCGATAAGATCAACGTACTAAATTACGACTAATTTGTTACTATAAAAAGAATTTCTGCGATCGCCAAACGAAAGCAAGAAGAAAGCAAATTGTTTGAGATTGTTTTTAGCAGTACCTGCGTAGTTTCGCATCAAGTTGCGATTGCGATAGTTTTAGATGGGTTTTATTCCTGATTGTTTTGCCTGAATCTTATCAATATGATGTATTTAACTCAATGTCTCTTTTATTCCATTTATGCAAAGCGACTCATTTATTGGTGTTTACGAACAATTGTAAAATAAAACGAACCATTGAAACTAGCAAATCAGTGAAGCAAAAAAAGTGTTCCTAAAAGGAGAAAAAGCAAGTTCAACAAGAGAAGCAATAGGCAAACCCGAAAGAGCAAGAGTTGGACTCAATTTGCTTACAAATAATTGATATACTTGTAATCAAACTAAAAATTAAAAACTTCAGAAGCTGCATTTACACATCGCTTACTTCGTTCTGGCTGTCTTTGCGTCTCGAGCTGAAAATATTCAGAATAGTGGATTTTTTTAACAAATGCAAGTTAAATCACACACAAATTAAAATTATTGAAAGAGAAGAATGGAAAATGTACGATTCACAACTGCACGTTTTATTGATTTTCACTCTACTCAAGTACAATAATTAATTGAAACAGCCGGAGATTTTAGCGAAGCAGTTTGCTGATTAAATGGATGTTTTTGCTTAACCACAATTTCCACTTCTTACAGATAAATAAATACAATCACAGCTACGCAAACCATTCAACTTTACATATTTCACTCTAACTGTTCAACTATCATGCTTTTATACGTTTTATTTTTTTCTTTTAGGAGTCCAAAAGCATACATAGTATTCACATAAATACATTTTTAGTCGGATAGGATTTAAGTATTTTTCTCTCAAACGTTCGTTATTATGGTTTTTGAGGATTACATTCGAAATGCACATTGCAAGCATTTTTTTCAGTCGGCTTTCTTGAAAAATGGGTGAGAGAATAAAAGAGCGGCATGAAGTTGATTTACGAAGGGATTATGGTACTATGGAAGTTTTGGAAAAAAAAATTAAAGCAACTGGTTAAACACCCTTGAAATGAAAACCCAATTTTATTTGCTGAAAATAATTTTTAAGTAGTGTTTAAATTTTTTCCGATGGTACCATCGAACCATCACTAAATTCTGAAAGGTCAATTTTGCGTTTCAGAAATTTTCCTGTACCATTAATCGAGGTTTAAATGCTCGGGCATTTTTGAGCTTGCCCTCACAATGCACACTCTGTGACATGTAAAATTGTCATCCAAAACATGATATTCATATAATCATGTAAATTGCCAATTCATGCAAACTGCGTGTTAGTACAAAATGAATGCGGTTTTTAAAGGCTCACTCACAGAAGCGGGCGATAGCTGGCCGATTGGGTACGGTAGCGTCTGAAAGATAGCGCAGACTTGCGGAAAAACGCTGAACCTGATTATTATTCGGCACTGTGCAAAGTTCGATAGTCTCAGGCAACGTAAAAATTGGCTGCGAGATTCTTTTGCTTGAAAATAATTAAAATATCATTTTAATTTCCTCTCGAAAACGTGTATTCTGGAAATTTGAAAAATGCGAAAAATATCAACTTACACAGGTGGCCCATAACGACTTGTGAAACTTTGCTGTCTCATGACTGTCTGCAACGTCGAGCATCGAAATGCGAGCATCTCTCGGAATGGTATTCGAAACTCCTTGTTATACTTGCAATAAATAAGCGGGTTGAGGGTGCTGAAATGTCAGAATTGTACACATGCTCATATATCAACTTTTGTCTTCTGTCCAATCCTTCATGTTTCCCATTCAATTTTTGAAACTAAATTATTGCTTTTTGCGAAAAATTCGGCATTTCTATGACGATTCCTGCTAATTTGCTCGTTTGTTCTTGTGGGCTACTATAGCGATGAACAATTTTCCGAAAAAAAAAACACTTATTCTTTTTGAAGGCGGAATAATAATTGATAGACTTCCGAGTCTTTAAGCTGAATATTTATATTTATCCTCAATTAGCATATCTCAATTATAAAAATAGAATGGATAACGGATTGAAACGTTTCAGATTTCAAAAAATTCGCTCCAAATTTTCATAATTCATCAATTTAAGTGGGTTTGTCCGAAGCGAAAAAATGAAAGCATGAACGTCATAATTACGAAATTTGAGCCCGATGTAAAAGGTTGGTAAAAGTGGTTTTTATAGAAAATTGGTATTCAACGAATCAACGTTTCTGATGCGCCGCTTTCGGAAAACGAGATGATCATATTTCTTTTCAAATTTATGGAAATGTGCCACATTTTGAAATTATACATTCATTTTTGTATACACATACGGCTTCATGTTCTTCTGATAAATCAAACCTATTCGAGTAGCCGAGCCACAAGGCGAGAAGGTCGAGCCAACCGGGAATTCTGACTCCCAGACATGATTTGAGGATCGCAAACGAGAAAAATGGAAGCCAGCAGATAATAAACACTGACATTATTACTCCAAGTGTTTTTCGGGCTTTACACTCGCTTTTCTCATTGTGCCGAATCTGAAAAAAACGGAACCCTGGCTAAATTATTATAACCAATATTTTTTCAAACATCTCAAGTGTTTATCAAAACTGCAGAATAAGGACAAAAACATGCCCAAAATTTCTCTTTTCAATTCAATAAGTGTTGCAAAACTTGGCGACGTCAGAAATTTTTTTGGTTTGGACCATGTGACTTTACTCATTCATAAAGTGCTATTATATAACAAAAGACGACGATTGCAGTACTTTCAAATTGCCCTGTGTTTGATCTCGATTCGTGGCCACTAAACACAAATTCTGGATGCTATTTTAAAGAAGCCATTGAATTTTCACAGAAATAGTCGGAAATGTGTTTATTACGAAATTTGATATGATCCAAGATCCATCTTCAGAATAACAGCAGAGGTCATTCTGAAGACATCATGAAAATGTTTTAATATCTGCCACATTTGAACGACATTTTTCAAATTGATAATTCGAATATCCCTAGCAAATTTAAATCGCGAAAGCATAAGAAGGAATTGGCACCGCTTGAGTCTTTCAATAAGTACCACTTCCAAACATTTCGAGCTATTTTTTCCCTCGATCAAGTGCTTTTCGCGCTATTATTTGAAACAAGAAAGAAAAACGCAGTTAATGAAAAATGTTGACTCTTTTGTCTATCCAAAAAATTCAGCCTTAGAGCATATTAAAAAGTGAATTTGCTGGTTGAGATTTATATTTTTTAATTCGAAATTATAAAAATTCTATTTTTTCGTGAATCATTTGTTTGAAAAAACTGGGAACTTCCAAATCTTTGAAACACGTTTAACTGTATAAATGGGTTTTTTTTCATTAATTGATTTAAGATACGAATCGATTTCCGGATTCCAAGAGCAGACAGAGATCATTTTCTATAATGAAAGGTGCCGCAATCCAGGTTTGAACTACATGAATTCGCTTTCAAATTTTGGACTTACCAATGGGCCTTTCACGGCAGTGAAAAATGCACTCGGGCGGTGCAGATACTTCCGTTCGAGTTTGAATATTCTCGAATTGGTTGAATTGGTCCTTTCACTTTTGGTATTCCCATTCACTTCCTTTTCATTCAGCAAATCCGTGTTTTCCTGTGACGAGCCATTTCGATGCTTGTCCGTCACGTCAATCGAATTACAATGGGACATGAGACGATCTTGGGCAGCGAGGCGTTTCGCGGCGCGCCAAATTTTTACGTTCAAAATCACCATTATGAATGTTGGGCCATAAAACGAAATAATGGTCGCGTAGATTTGATAGCCAAAATGTTGAATGACCTAAAATTTTATTAATGTCTATATAATAATTGGTCCTAATATAATCCCCGATTCGCTTCTTTTTTTCACTATTCCCGCATCTGAAATGCAATTCGACAAAAGCAAATAAAACGCTCTATACTGACCCCGGTCGTCTTCTCCTTTCAATTTTTGAAAAAGCTAACGCAGAATTCTTCCGCGAATCATAAAAATGAGAACATGCTCTCATGGCGATTCGAGGTGCTATTTCGAGAAATCACATATGTCGAACACAGCTGTGACTTTTGTTTAATAGAACCCTACTACATAATAATGCAGACACTTTGAATGTTATTTTCAAGATATAACAACGTTTCAACTAGTCTCACATATTGGGGGATAACTGCAGAGTTGGAATCAACTCATGCACCATTTGTTGTTGGTTTTTTTCCTGCTGTTTCGAGGAGAAGCGAACTCGTTTCGCAAGCATTCTTGAAAAATGGGGAAAGGAGCGAAGAAGATTTATCTGATCGCTCACTGACTCGATAATTGAAATGGATTTATTTGTTATATTGCTGCTGGGCAATATTGTAAAAGGATCCCGCCGCCAACACTGTGCAGTATTTTGAACTTTCGACATTCTCTATTTGGTTTCAGTTTCCACATTTTCTCGAGGTTCCGGAGCGATTGCATCAGCAACGTATTGAATTTCTCAAATATATTCGTGCGCAATTATGAGCCGAATTTAAATCAAAGACTATTGCAAGGAGATATTCTTTGAAAATGGCTGAGAGTATCGAATTTTCCAACAATTTTTTTCTGTTTCGTCTCCGCGCACTAGCGAAAACGTTTCTAGTTTCTTCAATGTGAGATCATGTAACCCCCACAATTTTTAACGTTTCACATGAAGAAAACATTTCATATATTTTGCCAATATATCATGTGCGTTCTCCGAGAAGAAACATTGCAAATTATTTTCGGATAAAAAAACAATGCTCACTGAATCCTTTTGCTCTCTTGACATACCAAAGGGAGTGAAAATTGGAATTCCTGGTCCCTTTAAAAGAAAAAGAAAAAGAAAGAAAGGCGAAAAAAAAACAAATAATTTTAATCGTTCTCACATCGCCGGCATAAGGTGTACACATTGAGCTGTCAAATTGAACGACTTCTAATAGTCGTGTTCATAAAAAATCAAAGTTAATGATGCTGACACTCAGCTCGCTAACCCACCTTCCCTACGAACACATCCAATAGGTTTTTCGGAAGATTTATGAGTTCAGAAAGACAATGAACGCCGAGGAGAGAAAGGAAAACCAAGAGGAAAAATTGGGTGGCGGCAAACCTCACACGAAGTGCACAACGGAAAGATGAATAGAAACTATTCGTTTTTACTAAAACCCATTCCACCGACAATTTTTTTTCATCATCGATTTCATCTTGGCCCCAGTTATATAATGTCGAACGGAAATTTGCGCGGGTTACGGTGTGTACTTCAATTTCCGGCATTTTTCTAGATATTCGCCTTAGATGGTAAACGAAAAGCGAATCAATCGAGACGACTCGTATTTCTCTTTAAAATTTATAATTGGTTTGATTGTCCCCGACAGCCTATACCAATCGAAATCAAATGAAATGAAATGGCAAATAGATTCTCAGCGATCATTGGAAAATCATTATGACAAAAAACGCTGATGCCGCCGTCGTTTCCTGCCCTCCCTCATCTCGAACGTTTATATTGCAAACAATAGAAAACTATAAAATGTACGACTAGAATTTGTGTTTCACGGCAATTTCTAAGGCACCTGACACCATGAAAAATGTGAAAGAAGCGAATCGGAAATCAATGCCATTAAGGCAGCCCAGTCGTGAGCAAATGACAAACACAACAAAACAATCATTCGAAAATTAATGTTCGCTAACGTACCTGACATGTTCCAGTAGAATCAGAATCGCCATCATCAAGCAAATTTGCGATAATATGTGACGAAAATGCAACGATTGTAGCAATGATCCATACAGTGAAAATGTAGCTTAGAATTCTCTTAGATGTGCGCTGAGCCGAGTAGCGTAATGGTCTTGATATCACCAGGTAGCGATCTACTGAGATTGCACAGAGGTTAACAATCGAAGCGGTACAAAGAGTAAGGTCGGCGGTTGTGTAGAACGTGCACATGAATCTGGAATTTGAACTTAGATTTCTGTTTAAAACAAGATTTTTTGTTCTGTGGTTAACTAAGGTTTAAAAAGGATAGTTGTCCCATCTTTTCAAACCACTAATTTTCTTATACACCTGTATACATGCATTCTAATCCTTTATACTTTCCTTTCTTTCTTTTTTTTTTGAATAAATCTTGTTGACTGGCTAATCTTGTTCTCATCATTTTTTCGTACCTTAGTAAAAATATTCTTGACAAAGCGGCAAAATGGGAATAAGCAGAAACTTCAGAAAACCCATTAAAATTTCGCGTTAATTATAGGTTACTTTGGGCGACTGATTTCTTCAAGGTAGGATAGCATAGGTGAAATGGGCGCTCGAAAATTTTCCCCAATAGCATTAGATCCTCATGCCTGACCAATTCAAAGAGACGAATATAAAACACGAGCATCATTCCTAATGGCCGACCGTTGTCGTTCGACAAAACGAACGTCGTTTTCTTTATGCCTTTACGAAAAAGAAAAGAATTGGAAAGAAAAAATGAAAGTTCATATTTCAACCCAATTTCGTTGTGTTTCTCATTTATTTACAAAACTTTTCGGTGTTCATGGAAACTGGAGCAACAAGGTGGATTTTGAACAAAAACGTAACGTCAAACAACCCGATCATTGCTTTCCTTAATGGGCATTTTCCGAAACAAATAAACCACCGCATATGAAAATTTTGCGACGGTTTCCTTCAAAAAATAAACCATTAAAATCCTCGTTTTGCTTCCTGGAATTTACGTTTTTTTCTGAACTCGCGATACTTGAAAGAAAGCGATAAATCACTATAGACATAATCCATGCACTTTCTCTCATGCAAAATTCTTATTTTTGGCTTACATGCTTTGTGTTCTTATGGGGGATGATTTGATCAAATAGGAACACCAATATTTTAAAATGTGACTCACCGCCCTAATGGCCATCTATCGAACATTAAATCGATTAATGCGAGCGGCATCACAACCAATCCGACAAAAAAATCGGCGACAGCCAATGAGACGAGAAGGAAATTTTGCGGATGCTTCAACTTTCTGACAAGAAGCACGGCGAGGCACACGAGCGCATTACCAACGGTTGTGACAATGATCATAACAAGAATAAGAGCTGCTAGCAGCATTTTGGCGGAACTGCCGCCAAATGATTGTGGCGGCATTGTAGATGAACTATGTTGCTCATCTGTGGACCACGACGATGTTAGCGGCAAGATGGTATATGAAGAAAATGGCGATATGTTGACTGCACGGGCCATTGCACCCTTCAGCTGTCTCTGCTTGCCACATAGACCACAAGTGACGACTAGCTTGGAGGCGCCGCGACGTCGCCGTCGTTTCTCTCTCCACTATTCGCAAAGGGGCGTGTCCGCTTAGACCATTCTCCTATCCTACGGTAGGGCGCAAATATGGAGAGCTGAAAGGCAAATGATTCAGACAAACGTTTGTTTCTGAGAAACTTGAATTACACATGGAATGAATGAGTACAGTAACTAAAATTTTTGGAGAATTTCATGGATATTGATAAAACAAGTACAGAATAACATTTAAAATCTTCCAAATTGTCTGACTAACATGTAAATTGAGTGACTGAAAAAATAAAATGTTGAAAAGTGATAAATGGTTAGTATAAAAAAAGAGTTTCAAAAACAAATTACCACCGTTTCTGCTTTGTCGTTTTGCCACAAATTGGCAGATGTCCAAACATAAAAAAATGCATAAATATTCTTCCGAAACCATTCAATGTCACATTATGCATTAGATAGTTTGAAAATCAAAACGTGTCTCGGAAAAAATTTCAAAAAATTATAATTAGAAGCAGGGAAAAATATGCAAAACATACATACACGTATATATTTTGAATGCAATAAAAAATGTCTAGAACAATATTTGATGGGTTTTCGGTTTCATGTCTTTTGGTATTGGCTTTTGCGGTTCAATCATGACAATGAATATATGCGAACAATTTTCTCAACACGCCCACGCGAAAAAAGATGTGTATTTGTACATACACCACAACAAAAAGATGCCTTTAGAATATTTAATCGAATTAAATTTTGGTTTTATTTTTAAAATTTTGTTAAGCGAATGATGCGAAACAATACAAGGTAGGCAATGCAGAAAGTTTCAAAAGGATCATGCAGCACACAATGTCAATAACAAAAAAAAGTTATCAACTTAAGAGCATTCCTTAGCATGAATGCTTGTTTTTGTTATTACAGCGAAGTGATTGTGAAGAACCTAAGGAAATCATTTGGACAAAATATTGATTTATATGGGGGAAAAATTATTTTTAATATTTTTTCTTACGCCTCAAATCATTTAAAAAATTCTGTGTACCGTTCAATAGAATGCGTTTGAATTGCAAAAGTTAACATGTTGTAGACAACTTCTTGTTTTCCTAGTATTAAAGAATGCCTAGAGGAGTATTTTAATTTGTCACTGATTCCATTTATAAGCAGTTGTTTTCATCTTACCATTTTTTTTTCGTTTTTAGCATTTATAATGTTATTATTTGGTTCTTTGGTGTGGCTCAAAATAATGCATTTTCACAGGCAGTGTTCACTTCATTAACTGCCGTCAGAAATTGTTCCATTGATTGGCGGTTATTTGTTGTGCCCTTACACGAAGAGCGAGATGTCATGTCGGTTTTCCCATAATCGCGATGACGAGAGTGCTCTAATGGTTTGAAATCTGGAGGCAAATATCAAAATTTCAGATTCAGATAGTAATGTTGCTTTCTTTACAACAAACATTTTATTGTATGTCTTCTATAATGCGTGAATGCTCCAATCCATCGTGGTTGCTGATTAACCTAAAATCGACTATGTGAAGTGTGTACTAAGTAATCCAATTAAATCTTTTCCTTGAAGTTTAATGTCATATTGAAATTTGATGCAAGCCCATAAAAATTCAATTTGCTTTGTTCAACAAAATACCCTCTCTTAAAGCAGTGTAGATGATTTCAGGTATCAATGCTCACGCTTGCTCATAATACTCCTGTTTTACTCGTCACAGTCAGAAAATGTTCACACAGTGAGCTAGTTAAAAAGTAATTGTAATAAGGCGCTCAATGTTGCTAAGCGTTTCAGCATTTTCAGCGCAAAAACACTCCCATAACTAGCTTGTTTATTGCGTAAATTCTGAAAAATTGCGATTTCGCTAATCAAATTTCATTTTTTTTGCGTTTTGGATACAATTTCGAACATCTGAAAAATTGAAAAATTTGTTTATCCTAAACACTCGTTGACAACTTTGGGGAAGGTTGTTTCAAATTATTCCGAATTCGATATATTTGTTTACGGTCTAACCATTAAGAAAATCAATTAAAAAATTGTAAATCACCGATTTCAAGAAAATAACACGGTTAATGGCCCTATTATTTGTACAGTTGTTTTTCGCAGTAGAAAAGGGCATAAATTCTTTCTTGCTGGTTTTTTTAAAATAAAAAATGGTATACATTTCAAAATACAACAAGTGTAGTAATAATACAAATAGATATACAATTTTTAGCTGAGCGTTTGAAATAAACTATGTACTAAGAAGAACATTATTTGGCTTTTAAATTTCAAGGGTTTTGATTTTTCAGTGATCCGCAACATTAAGATACATTAGAGAAACTATATGTTGCTCATCCGATATTTTAGTCTGGACTACTGAATGTATATTTATAAACATATTGTGCTGGAATTCTTTGTGAAAACACATGTACATTACATTAACAAGTGGATGATGTAAGCAACCTAATTTGGCAAATGCACACCTCTCACTCCGCCGGGATTACTAAAGTCGGGCAACGATGGGTTTATGAACTTATAACATAAATGTAGGCATATGGCAGCGTGCTACGTTTTTCATAATGTTTCAAATTTCCCATATTTTTCGAGATGAACATTTCTGGATAGTTGGCATTTCTAAAATAAATATTCATCATATTAATTATCAACTCATCGCGATGATGACATGATTGGTTCAAATAATTTCTTCAATTTTTGAATGACCGAGGAGCCTAGAACATTAATATGCATGCAATTTCCGATGTGATATCTCGAAACCTTCACTCATTCCTATTCTTTATTTCTATTCGTTTGTTATATTTTAGGAGAATAATTTTATTTATAATCTATAAAACATTTTGATGTTATTTTGAACGCGCTTCCTTTGGTTTATGAAAGTTTGTAAAATTTATGTTCATTTTTTTAGTTACCAACGTATTCCATATCGAGTGTCCTTCGTGTGGCCGACCTCGTGTCGAGCCCGTACGACCGCCGGTACGAAAAATACCGAAAAAAGGAGAAAAACAAAAAGATTACGAAATCACTACCATCTCTTCATGAAAATGTTGAACTGTGCATTAAAATTCACAGTTTAAAAGTGGAACCGAGCTCTTCGGAAGTAATTAGCGACGATGAAGTAAGTTTGAATTTCGTTTTTATTTATCAGATAAGCATCGGTAATACATCATTTGAAATGAAAATTGCTTCAACATGGGATATTTAAATTGAATACAAACAAATTTAGTAGTTTTCGTCGGAAATGAAATATGAGACAGATTTGAATAATCTGAATTCGATTCTTGAAAGTCATTAATTATGGGGTTTTAATGATTGTTGATGTTTAGTCAGCATCTCTTTTTTGGTATTTCAGATAATTCAGGTCGAAATGATCAAATTGGAGAAAAAAAATATAAGCCAACATAAAAATGTCAATAAACATTTGATTATTATTGTGGCGCTGCGGAAAATTGAAAATTGGCTAAACGGCAAAAAAATAGGAAGAGGTCATGGCACGTGATAACATATGTTTAGTCCATTAAATTTTCAAATTTTTTTCCGCTAAGACCCATAGATTTTTTGGTACTTATAAAGTAAAGCCATTATTTGTTAGTCAATTTTGGACAGGCGCCCGACAAAACCGATAATACTCATACATAAAAATATTTGTATCGTTATTGAGAAAGTATTTTTAGTTTGCTACCTTTAAGTAAATAACACGCTTTCAATTGTTTATTTCAAATTCAAGTGTTGTTCAGTTCAATTTGAGATATTTCTTCCCATTTTCTTTTTCGTTTAAGACGATTACTTTAACCAAACATCATCATTTTAAGTATTTAACAATCTTTTTTTTTTGTATATGTTATCTATTCTACTCAGATTATCAACTCATTCAGTTTATTTTTAAGTTTTTAATGTAAAAAGCACAATATATTCAAGCGGGTAACGAACATGGTTTCTCCGAATTTCTGGTTTTATGAAAATTTGCAATAAAACAGCCAAGCAGAAAATCACATGGATCGCTAAATTCTTCAAAATAAAAAAAACATTCTTGCAACCCCATACCCCTTTCTTCCACTCTTAACAACACCAATTTTATTTTGGTTTGGTCTAGCCACTGCTTCTTCTTAATCCAATTATTTAATATATTTATATATAACAATTTTGTGAGAATTCGTAGTAGAAGTAGGTGTTACCATTATTGAAATTTTTCGCCTCCTAATCCGAATTTTATCCGGTTAAAAACGAAGACGGAAAAGTTCTTCGAGTTGACTTGTGTTCTTTTGACATACTCTTTTTTCCTTTTCGAGCAGGTTGAATAATTCATAAAATTCTTGGTTTCAATCTGACGAGAAGTTATACATTTTCTGTTACGAATTAAATATTCCAAATGATTACAACGAAAAGTTGTTCATTTAATTCTCATGAGAACTCTGTTGATATTCTTATTCCCAAACACATTGTGAAATTTGTAGAAGATAAATGTTATTCTTTAAAAAAGGGTTCCCCGCTGCGCCCTATAGATTGATGTTTTTCTTATGATTTTGTTCCTCCGTTTTTTTTTTAGTTTTCGACCCTAATGCGTATCCTGACATCTTCAGGTTCATAGAGCGTCAAAATCTCATCTCAGAATTGAAGATAGAAGGCCGAAATAGAAGTGCCGCAAAAAAAAGTTGAAATCATTTTGAATAGTTGGCGTGAATCGGAGCAGTCGGCTTGTTTGTAACGCGCTTCCGAAACTTCAATTAGGATCGACGAAGTGAAGACTCTCCGAAATAAGGCGACAAAATTCAAATAAACCGAAACATATCACAAAAGCGCCATGAACGTGCCTACTGATATTCCAATTGGCAAAAAGGATATTGTAAGTCATTTGTTAAAATATTTAAGATCCATTTTAAGAATTGTAGAAAAATTCAGAAGTCGCTCCCCTGTTTTAATTTTAATTTAATCAAATGTACGGGTGTTTTAAAAACACATATTTC